AAAAAAAAATCAGTCAATTCTGAGATATCATTCTATTGTCGATATCTGAACCTCTCAGAAACTCACTCTTAAGGACTATACTTGTTGTTTTTTGAAATTAATCGATCATTAGAGCGACAATATGCCTTATTTTTTTTCCATACTTTCGAAAGACATTTATTATTTTTTTGGGCTCCCCTTTTTTCTTTCGCCTTTTCGCTATTTTTTATTTTGTCTTCATTTCGTTTTTTTAATGATTTAATATGATTATTTTTTTATAATCAATAATTGGTTGTTAATGTCTGTAATGGAAGAAGGGGGAGCCGCAAAAACTCGCCTATTAAACTTACACTAACTATTTTCTTCGAAGGGTGGGTGTGGATGTGGATGTGGGTGTGAGTGCGAATGCGAATGCGGTTGTTCATCTGCTGTTACTTGGGACCCACATCCACACTCTCGACGAACATGTGAAGAGGCATATTTTTTAGTCCATTCACACCAAAGGCAGCTTTTTTTGCTTTGATTGTTCGAATTGGTTGAGATGGAATGCGGTGTTCTTTCGCTTTCGATTTAGTAATGCGATAAGCAATGCACGTGCATCTGTGCACCCACACCCACGCCCCACACCCCCACTCACACCCACCCACACCCTCTTTTGCTTTACTATTTGGATATAAATGTTCATAAGCTGCAACAAATTGATCTTTTGAAATTTCACCATTTGGACTAAAACAAAAAAAAACATGTTTATTTACCAATCACGTAAAATATCAGCATGCCAATCACGAATTTCTTTTTCAGTTAAATTTGTATTTGCTTTAAGCATTTCTAATCCTTTTTTTGTCAGGACAGTACTAAAACAGACAAAAAAATTTTGAAATAAAGCGAAGTAATAAAAAAATAGTAAAGGCAACATACTTATCTTCATCGAGTAAAACTCTTAATTGATTCCAATTTACAGAATCATTTGTTAATGGATCAATTGCTGATGTATTAGTTGTTGATGATGCTACAAAAAGAAAAAATATATATATATATATATCCCCCCGGTCATGAAAAACCGAAAGGCTTGTTTCTTTGATTTCTCTATGATGGAACATCTTTTAGGTCCCATATTTATATCACAGATAGATCTTGTGTTACTCTATCTGCTGGCAAAATTTCAGCCATATACATCGAGCACTGGCGGAGAAAACGAAAAATCAATCTTACACACTCATATGCAGGTGCGCCAAACACTTGTAACTATACTTATGTTTTTTATATTTCTTGTTTGATTCTGACTTGGTAAGTATTGATTAATTATCTTCTAATCATCATTTACGAATGGTGACATCTTCCGATTACGCGTGCATCACGCATAATACGAAGATGTCACGATTCGTAAATGATGATTAGAAGATAACTAATCAATACTTACCAAGTCAGAATCAAACAAGAAATATCAAAAACATAACCATAGCTCATACTACGTCGCGTTTCGCTATAGTAAACGACAAAAAAATCAGGAAATCAGGACATGGCGTTGACTGTAGCAATCTCTGCTGCAATATATGGCATAGTTACAAGTGTTTGGCGCAACTGCATATGAGTGTGTAAGATTGATTTTTCGTTTTCTCAGCCAATGCTCGATGTATATGGCTGAAATTTTGCCAGCAGATAGAGTAACACAAGGTCTATCTGTGGTATAAATATGGGACCTAAAAGATGTTCCATCATAGAGAAATCAAAGAAACAAGCCTTTCGGTTTTTCATGACCAGGGGGATATATCAAAACATATAAAAGACGTTTTACCTGATTGTATCTTTATAGGTGATGTTCTATTATCAAACCAGTTATGATTTTTTTCATCTGCAAAATAATAAATTTGTTGTAATAATCATATGTATGTATATTATTACCTTCATCTTTTCTTGATTGAATTAAATTCTCATTTAATTCAGGGTGTGGGTGCGTGAGTGTGGGTGTGGCTGTGGCTGTGGCTG